CTGGGAGTTTCCGATATGTCAAATTGCTCAAAATTCTTGGAAACGAATCATCGGGTTGTTAGTGCTTTTTGCCGAAATGGGATCTGCCGTCGGCAAAGGATATAAGAAGCATGTTCACATTCCGAAAGAGTCCGGACAGACAAGTGTCGGACCCGCTTCTCACCTTTTCAATTGTCGGTAAGCCGCAACCAAGGGTTAAAGTTGGCGAGCTAATAATGGAGGTCCCGGACACTCTTCATGGGTTCCAAGAGGAGTGGTTATGGGTCGGGGGAGACTGGCAGTGCCCCGACTTCGCTAATGATCTTCTTGCCGATGGGATAAGCATCCCAATGGCCACTAAATCTGGTTATTGTAAGTTGTTTTTCATTTTCTTCACTTCGGTTATTAATATTTTGTTTTTTGTTGTCGCTAACAGGTGGACTTTTGTGACCTTGTAGCAAAACCGACCGGGAAGAAAGAGCCAAAGTTTGAAGGCCTATTGTACGACCGAGTAGACAAGTTGTTTGAAGTGTCTGCCAACAAACGCCGATATCAACGACTTGTAAAAGACTCTCGCTTAGAGTTGGCTGGATTGTCCCCCGGAGTACTTAGTTCTTCATTTTTACCAGGTAATCTTCTCTACTTGTTTCGTTTATCTCATATCATCACTCGTGTTTATCGATATCGTCCTAACTTTAAGCTTACTGTAACAGTCTATTACCCATTGCTGGGATACTTCGGTTTCGGAGATCCCACAGAAGCTGAGGAGCATCGGAGACGCAATCCGAATTGGGATTTGAAAAACAAAGTCGGAAAAAACAAGAATCTTCGATCAACCGAGATGGCCGGACGTCTGAATCTTCTCAAGGCATGGAAGAAAAATCCCAACCGATCTCAGAGTGCTGTTGGTGAACCGTCATCAACCAGGGCAGAACCGACACCGGCTATCGCGAGCGAGCCAGCAGTTACCGACGTCCCGCCTTTGGAAGTAGAACCACTACGGCAAATAATGACGCCGGTGGGTGAATCTGTGGTTGAGGCGGAGATCTCTCAAGAAGGACAGGAAGTGCCCGACGAGCCGGTAGTTCATCGCCGCAAGAGATCTAGCGTATCTCATGTGGCTGAGAGAATGAAGAAGAGGCAAGACACCGGCGCTGGTAAAGATAAGGAAGAGGAACCCGAAATTGTTTTAAGAGATTCCTTCCTTAAGATAAATGAGAAGAAGGCGGCAGAGTTGACGCTGCCAGAAGGTGTATTCGACCCCTGGTTCCCGATGTTTCAGACAGTCGTGGAGCCAAAAATTACGAACAACCAGCGATTCCCCGACGAAGCAGTTAAAGCGGCAAGGGTTCCATTGATGTCGTGGGACCCGAAAACTCATGCGGGGATCGCATCATTGCCAGATGACCAGAAGTTCAGCTATGCCCGTGGTTGTTTGGGTCGGGCTCTGGTCAGTTTTATAGCAGCTGAAGATAGTTACCGGAACAGAGCCCACGAACTTGACGAAAAACAACATGAGCTGAGTTTGAAAGAAGGCGCTATAGCTTCTCTTGAGGATGAGAAGTCTCGCCACGAAGCAGCCTTGTCAAGGAAGGATGTCGAACTGCAGGCGGCATTGACCGAGGTAAACACCCTCAAAACCGAGAAAGAAAACTTATTGCTGGCCCATGATCTGACATCGGTTGAGTTGGCCAAAGTTACGGAGGTGGCCAAAGAGAAGGATGAGCAGCTTATAAGATTAAGGGCTGAGCTTCAGGCCGTCCGTAAGGATCGGTCCGACAAGGATGCTGAGCTGACCCGAAACCGTGAGGCTCATGAAGTGGCGATGAACAAGCTCCGACAGGAAATGACCGCCGCCGCCGAGCTCAAATTCCAAGAAGGTATCGAAGTCGGCAAGAAATCAGTAGCCGAGCCCGACGACGCAGTTGACGCCGGTGCGACAACAGAATGGGAACTGGAGCTGAACGCCGCCTTAGCTTTACGGTGGGTGATAGACAGAGTTGACAGCGGCGTGTATACCATAGATGAGCTGCGCATTTATTTGCTGCATAAGATGGAGAAATATGGCTTCAACCCAGAGATGAAGAACGCCCATATCCCGGCCGACCAGGACGAGAGGGACTTTGCTGACCGACTTCTAAAACAGAAGGAGAGTCGGATGTTGGAGCTGGACATGGTGCCCTTGTCGGAAGAGCGAAAGGCGAAAATCAGGCGATCATTCGTGGACATGGTCCTTGAGGTAGAGAAGGCCAAG